GGAGTATTAAAAAGTAAGCCACAGATTGAACATCTATGTTTGTAAATCACATACCTGAAAAAGGATTTGCATCCAGAATATGCAAAGTACTCTTGAAACTCAACAGTTAGAAAATAAACAATGCAATTAATAAATGGGCAAAGGATCTGGACAGAAAATTCACCAAACAGAATATACAAATGGCAGATAAACATATGAAAATAGACTCCTCAACATCAAAAGTGTTATGCAACAAATTGTGTCCCCAAAAACTTGTACGCTAAAGCCCTAATCTCCAATGTATTTGAAGACGAGGCCTTTAGTGAGTTAAGCAAGGTTAAGTGAAGTTGTAAGGGTGGAACTTCAATCCTATAGGGATGGTCTCTTATAAGAAAAGAGACACCAGAGCTCTCCTCTGCTCGTACCCAGTGGAAGACCTGTGAGGACAAAGCAAGGAGGCAGCCGTTGATAATTCAGGAAGAGGCCCCACCAGAAACCGGCCCTGACAGCACCTTGATCTTAAACTTCCAACCTCCCGAACTGTGAATAAATTTCTATTGTTTAAGCTATTTAGTCTGTGATATTTTATAACAGCTCTAGCAGACTAATACAATTAGTCATGAGGCAAATGCAAATTAAAAGACAGTGAGATACCACTCTGCAATATAAGAACGTCTAAAAATAAATAAATAAATAAAAACCTGACACTGTGAGATGCTGGCAAGGGTGTAAAACAATAAGAATTCTCATTATTCTTGGATAGAATGCACAATAGTACAGCCAAGATGGAAAAGAGCTTGGCAGTTTCTTACAAAGTTAAATATACACTTATTGTGTAACCCCATGATACCTCTCCTTGGAATTTATCCATGAGTTGAAAATGTATATTCACATAAAAATCTATATGTAAATATTTATGACAACTTTATTCATAATCACCCAAACAGAAAACAACCATGCTGTGCCTCCACAAGTGAGTGGATCACCAAAACTGTGGTTTGGATGGGGCTTTTTTAGAGGACTATTACTCAGAAGTATAAAAGATCAAATTAGTAATTCATATAACAATATGGATGGACTCTTAAATGCATTTGCTAAGTGGCAAATTTTTATGTGCCATTTGTATATTCCCTTTGGTTTCTGTCCAGATCCTTTGCCCACTTTGCCCACAAAAAAGGGCAGCGTATTGTAGGATTTGGTTTATACAACATTTTGGAAAATACAAAATTACAGAAATGTAAAACAGTTCTGTGGTTGCCAGGAGTTGGGGTTGGCAACAAGGGAGCTGCCCGTAGATACTGTCAGGGTGATGAATCCATTAGGAATGGTAACATGCTGATGGATTCCTGATTTTATGCTCTTGTAAAATCTTCTGTTTGCTACAAAAAAGTAAACTTAATTGTGTGCAAATTTTAAAAATCATTCAGGTTATAGAGGGATCCTAGGATAGAATATAAACTGTAATGAACAAATGCAACTGTGTCTCAATATATGGCATAACTTTGCAGACGGGAAGTTACATGGCATAACTTAACTCCTGTGTCCTCACTCAGGAAAATGGTACTTCAAGAGAATCTGGCAGAGCTGAAGATGAAAGGAACAATAAAATAACACTGTATGGTAAATCTGTTCCTCAACAGGGCACAGGAATCCTGAAAATACTTCACATGCATCTGTGGTTAAGTAAATAAATGCATAGATAAATAAATATATGATGAGAGCATGTTTCTCACAGAAAGAAGTCACAAATAATCAGGGGGGTTGGAGTGAAGGCCAGATGAACCCAGAAATTTCTAAATATATTTGTGTGTGTATTACATGAGATATGTATGTATGTAGATATAGAAATATATGTGCATACAGCATGGGTTAGGATGCATGCATGTATTTCCTAGCTCTGTCCACTGGGAGGGCATGGAAGCTGTGGTATCTCAGGAACAATGAGCACACCTCACACATGGATCTTGGTTTCTAAGCATCATTCATACTCCAATAAAAAGAAAAATGTCTGATTCTAGGGCTGGGGAAGGGGAAATGCAAGATGGGCATGGGGAATCCAGTAGTGCCAGAAAAAACAAAACACTCAAGATGAAAAAAAAAGAGGAGGGGATTGGCATGTTGAAAGGACACAAGAGCCAATGGTCAAAGCTGAGTAAGAGAAATAGTGATAGTATTGGGATATATACCAAAGAGTAAAATCAATATTTCTGACTCCATAAGTATATAGACAAATGACTGAAACAAATAGGTTGAAGAGAACAAAAACATTTAAATGCAGGAGAAATGAGAGAAATAGAGAAATATCATTAGCAAAGTACAATAACAATTGCTTCAGGCAAAATTCATTGATGAATGCTAAAACTCAGGGTGAAATTTTAAGAAGAAACAGGATTTTTGAGCCTTACCTCCTCCCCAAAGATACCACATCTGTGGTGGTTTTCATAAATTACCACAAATTTCTTGAAATCTCTTTCCCCAACATGAGGAGCTGAATTCCCCCTCCTTGATTGTAGACTGGAACTTATGTACTAACAAATACAATACGTAAAGGAAAAAATAGTAACTTTATAGTGGCAAAGCCTGGCAAAACCATTTCACCAAGTTTGAAGGTAAGAGTAGTACACACAGTAATTAGTCATGCTGATATCATCAGCCCCTGATAGGAAACAATGAGGCAGGCTATGGGTTTTGTGATATTCTTCCCCAAACCCATAATTTCGGTCTGTTCACAAGGAAACATCCAACAAACCAAAAATGAGATATTTTACAAAACAGCTGGTTACTTCTCTTCAAAAAGTGTCAAGTTGAGGAAATATAAGGGAAGACAGGGAAACTGTCACTGATTGTAGGAGACCAAGGAGACATGGTAGCTAAATGCAACGTGAGATCTTTCACTGATCCTGAAACAGAAAACGTACTTCACTGGAAGGACTAGAGAACTCTGAACCAAGTTTGTAGTTTGCTTCATAGTATTGCACCAAGACTAATTTCTTAGTTTGGATAAGTGAATAATGGTAATGAAAAACAGTAAATTTAGAGGAAGCCATGTGAAGGGTATACAGGAACACTACTTACTAACTTTGCAATGATTCTGTACATCTAAAATTATTTCAGAATTAAAGGCTCAAAAAAAAGAAAGTGAGCTGACATGACTTTAAGAATTTTACCTCCCTTGGAAGAGAAACTCTAGGTAAATTAAACCCAGAGGAGCAGCCAAGAGACGAATCAGATAATCCTTTGCATAATTCTTGGCCTATGCCATTAACTTCCAAACTTTTCCTAAGCTTAAGTGGGTTGTGTAGGCCATTTCATCTTCTGCAAAGAGGTGCTTAGAGGGCAGGATGGGAGACTCTGAAGGAAAAGTGCAGGCTGTTGGCCAGCTCACTCTTGTCCTTTGCTTCTCTGTCAGCACTTAATTCCCACCACTTTTTCCCATCACGTGTTGCAACATGGGAGGACTGTTCCTCAGGTAATGTTATTTGGATGTCATCCCTCCACATCTCATTTTGATGCCCAGGATTGGAGGTGGGGCCTCAAAGTGAGTGGATCACAAGGGTGGATCCCTCATAGTGGTTTGATGCCCTACCTGTGGTGTCAACTGAGGTCTCGGTATTGGCTCACACAAGAGGGGAGTGTTTAAAAGAACTTGGTCTCTCCTTCTCTCCCTCCTGCTCCTGCTTTCATCAGGTGACATGCCTGCTCTCTTTCCCCCTTCTGTCACAAGTAAGAGCTTCCTGAGGCCTCACCAGAAGCAAATGCTGGTGCCATGCAGAACCATGAGCCAAACACACTTCTTTATAATTCGCCCAGTATTCTTTTGAGGCAATGCAAAATGGACTGATACACCAGGTTAGACCTTCTTCACCTTTGCCAAGTTTATGAGTCCGCGTGACATTTACCTGGACTGACCTTATTTCACAAACAAGGGTTGCATTACCTTCTGGGTCATAGTAAAACGGAGTGGGGGGACCTGGAGGGTAGGTTGTGACCAGAGGAACGGTGACAGAGATACCTTCTTCTTGGGAACTGCAACCGATAAACATGACAGACCTTCATTGCTGCGTCTTTACCTCAACCTGACCTAAGGCAATCAGAGTCTCTCCCCTGGGAACTTTGAACTGAAAGACGTGCAGGTGTAAGACTAGGATGAGGAGTGGCAACTTCCCTTGGGGGAAAGGGACCTGGTGCTGCCTCCATTTGGCCCTTGCTGAAGCTTGGATGATTCCTCTATTCATTTTCTGTGGCTGTTGGAGCAAATCACCACAAACCGGATGGCTTAAAACATAACCCCCCAAAATTCTTCTTGCACAGTTCTGGAGGCAAGAATTCTAAAATAAAGATGACAACAGGGTCACACACCTACAGAGCTCTGGGCTCTGGGCAGGGAAAGGAGATCTGGTCCTCACCTCCCAAGCTTCCTTGACTTAACAGCAACATCACTTCCATTTCTGCCCCTGTCTCCTCTGTGTCTCTCTTATAAAGACACTTGTCACTGGATTTAGAGTCCACCTGGATAACCCAAGATAATCCCCTCATGTCAAAATGCTTTACTTTATGACATCTACAAAGACATTTTTTCTAAATCAGGTAACAAAGGTTCTGGGAATATGATATAAACATATCCTTTGGGGGGCAACGTTCAACTGAGTCAACACACTTGTCTCTCCAACTATTTGTTTCTTTTTATTAAACTGAATATTGCCAGTTTCTACTATTTGCAACCAAAAGAACTGACATGGTTTGGTCTCTCAGTGCCAGTGGCAGCAGCTAGGAGTGGCTTGCACTGTCTGTTTACTAAGCCTGACTTCACGAGTTCTCTAATTGTAGTGCAGTAAGAATTACTCTGAAACTAGTTAAAAATGTATGATTCTGCTCTTATCCCCAGAGTTTTTCCACTAACTGGTTCAGGGATCTGGTTTTTAACAACTCCCAAATGTTCCTGGTGATAAAAGAATAGGGAAACTGTGAAGGTTCAGACCCATTAACGCCCCTTTCAAATAAAAGCAACAGGAAAAGCAATGAAAAATAATTTGAAAACTTTAATGATGTTGCTTATATAGTAAAACCATAAAATCTTTTAAATAAGGTACATTCAATTTCTCAGAGCATCTACTATTCAGATAATTTATATTTCATACATTTTCAAACATTAAACAATTGACTAATAATTTTCTATAAAATGGTATTACAGCTTATACAGATAAATTTATAAAAACACTCCACACAGAAAAAAATGGTAGTACCTATTAGAAAAATGTTATAAACTTTTCATTAAAAAATATATTTTATCTCTTTCATTTGTCAAAATAATCAACAGAATATAATCTTTTTCTTTCTAAAATTAAGTCTTATACCATTTCTCTTTAGGATGATAATATGTACAAATCTTAATCTTGATGAACATAAATAGCAATACTGTAATAGTGTTACAGATATATGAGTAACTTTTACAGAAAAGAAATATGGCTTTCTAATAACCCTCTAGCGCAGCAGAAATCTCAAAGCTATTTAAGTCTGACATTCCATATTCAGTACAGCACAATGGCATCTAGTTTGTTTACTTCCAGTTGAATTACTGTAAGCGGTAATGAGGGGAAATACAGTCAGTAGATATGGGACCTGATCTGATAACCGGCTTAACCATCTGGGGTTCATTAAAGCTTCTGGGAAGACGTTAGCTCTTTTTCCACATCATAGTTTCTTTTGGTGCCCTGTGGCAAAATGAGTCATTGGTGACGAAAATGAAGTCCCTGCACCCCTCAAGTGCCTGAAAACAATGTACTCAGCCAGGGATCTGGCCCACTGGGGAGAGAGTCAATGGCCATCCCGGTTATAAGCAGCTTATTTTTACTGACTGGACCTGGTTCCCTATCATTTCTAAGAACAGCTTCTGATACAGCTTGTACATTGTGAAGCTATGCAGGAACCTGATGGTCTTCTTCAGGCTCTGGGCGACGACTTTGGGGAAGTGGTGGGTCTTGGCATGCTTGAGTGCATGCATGAGGCCCTTCAAGGTGTCTTGGTCGCCATTTTTAATTCTCCACAGGCTGAGAAGCTTGAGGATCTGCTCGTGGGATCGGCATGCCTTCCTCGTCTTGTCAATGTCTTCCGTTCCCACTTTCTTCCCTGGCAGGCTCTCCATCAGGCTGCGGAGCTGCTCGAAGGTGAGGTTCGCATGCCCAATGTGCTTCTGCACGCTGCTCTCACACAGGTCAATATCTGTACAAGCAAAAGCCCAGAGAAGTGTTGCCATCACTTGGACTCATCCAGTGCCAGTGTGAGCCCAGCCCTAGGCAGCAGGCCCTCACGAGACTTCACATTTTTTTTTAAAGGATAACCTTTCCTTTTCTTTCTTTGGGGGGCACTAAGTGACACCAGTTATTTCTAAAAACTGAGATAAATACTATTTTGCATTGTAGTAAGATAATATGCTATATATTCTTGGCATCCAACAGAGCTTTCAGAGAAGCCCCTAATTTTGAAAACTAACAGTAGAAAATGACAGACCCACCACTCAGTGTTTTAAAAAAAAGTCTGAGAAATTAAATCATGGCATTTCAGAAAAACAGAAATAAAGTGTTCAAATTAGTTACTTTGTAATATAAACTTTTGTGAGTTGGTATCTGACATAGGCACTGTTTGATAAGTTAGTTGCTTGAACAGTCTTTAGAAAATGTACGTAGCACCAAAGCATTGCCTCACTGAAGGGAATATCTGAAACCCAAAAATGTGAGGCCAAGGTGATGGGGGAATGCAGCCTAGACAATGTTCAATAATGAGTTAGGACATAAACCTAGGGGAGAAACGAACACGCATTTCTCTAAATGACATGAATCATTTAGTGTCTGTGAACCCTAAGGCAAGGTAGTTCATCTTTCTGGACTGAAATGGCCTCATTTATAAAATAGGGAATTTGGTCCATTTTGATTCTAACAGTCTCTGATTCTCTACTTCCCTGTCTTTTTGCTTCAGGGCTAATTATATGTTCAAAGAATACTTTTGGTTTGCTGAAAACAGCACAAAAGTTTACTCTTTGCCAGAGTATTCAGCTGTCAAAGACATTTGTCTCCTAGAATCTGATGCCCCAGTTTCAGATATTTGCGGTTTTTAGGGTAGTGTAGGATGGCTCAGTCATTTAATGGCTGGAGAAGAGCAGAGTGAGTTTCTCGCTGACACTGCCTGCATAATGAAACCCTCCCTCGGTTGCCCTAGCAGTTGTCCTCCCAGTGATCCCAGTGCTCGGTTGTCCCCCCAGTGCTAACTGAAGTCAGAAACCCTTTTAGCACACATCCTAGTGTGTGCAGTCCATACCAGGTGAAGGTCACTTCTTCTCATTGGGTTCTCTTCCAACACACACACACACACACACACACACACACACACACACACACTCGCGCACTCACACACGTCTCTCTTTCACATTACTTCTAACGGAGATTCTTTATAAGTCTCTAACACAGAAGAGTATTTTTTTTTAACTAGCTTTTTCTTACAAGAAGCTTAAATCCTTTTCAGACTTTCATTAATCCTCACAACATATGCTATTAAAATGGTAGTTTTAGTAGAGGCTACATTATGAGGATTAAGAAGAGAACATTTATAAGACAGGTAGACCTCTCTGGTGAAAATTACCAAGGAAATACAACACAGCTTCTTGGTAGAGATGCAAGATAAGATCCAAAGTGGTTAAGAAACGTCTTGTCATGTAGAGGGACTGCTAGTAAGAGCTGAGTGAGCTGGAGGCAGATTCCTTGAGATCTGTCCTACACTGAGATGCATGTCTCTTCTTTTAGAGTATTCAACACACTTTACTAAGAAACTGGGAGGCAAGGGTGAGAGTAAAACCTGCATGACTACTTTAGGAATCACATCTACACTATAAACTGGTGAAATGTTTTTAGTGCAACGAGGATTCCAGAAGGGAAATGCTACCCACACAGCTAACAGGCATGTAGCCTGTTCCAGTTTCAAGATAAACAGGTTTCTTGGATTTCTGACTGGGCTCTTTATTTCAGAGAACAATACCTTGGATGATCTTCTTGACCATGTCTTGGTCTTTGTTTTGATGTTTCCATAACTTCAACAGCTGGAAAGTCTGTTCCTGTGAGCTGTGCCGCCGTTTTATCCTCTCGACAGTCTCTGCATTGACTTTGGTGCCAGGCAGGTTGTCCACCAGGACACTCAGCCAGTTAGGCGTGAACTTCGTAGGAACTGCAAATCTGAAGAAGGCCTCCTCACACAGGGTGACATCTAAGGGAAGTGGGAAAACCATAGAGTTGATCAACAGTGGGATTCCTGAAAGGCTTTTGAACATAAACAGAAAGTCGGCACAACTGAATTTTCCAAGATGCAACATGCTAAAATGCAAAGTTTAAGTAAACTCAACCTTGTTTTGGCTGGTCTTGATGGCACAGACCAAACTGGACTTACATGCCTTCAATGTTCTTTGGAGACATTGTTTTCCAGGGTAAGTTTAATAAGTGTATAATTAGAATATAATATTGCTATATATAGCCCCAAATTCTATAACTTAAAGTAATTTTTAACATTCTGTTAAAAGTTTACTGTGTCCACAGAGTACTTCAAGATTAGTCTCAAAACAAATGCAATCACTGCCTTCAAGGAATACGAACAGTAGTCTGGAATAGTAAGTTATTTATGCCCTCATACAGACACAAGCATAACTTTGGAAACGAGGATGGGGATAGATAGAGATGTATAAGTATGCACTAAGTGAGAAAATGATCAAACATTTAAACATATCACTTAGGTAAGAGTTGCAATGGCCTGAGTGTCTGGGTAGGGTACGTATGTCTCAGGAATTAGGAGTTTGTGTTTGGATCCATCAGACCTGGGTGTGAATTGTGGCTCTGCCATTCATCATCTATATTGGTCTGAAGCCAGGTTTCTAGCACATAGTCAGTGCTCAATGAATGACAATAATAAAATAATAAAAAGTTAATAAAATTAAAGAGAATGTTAAAGCTAGAAATCATTCCTTTTTCTACCCCTTCCTTCATTTCATTCTTTAGATAAGAAAGCAGAAAGGCTAAATGACATGTCTGGGATTTTGAAAACGTGGTGAAAAAGATGTTGGAACTGGGCTGGAATCCTACATATGTCATCCCACAGTCCTGTGCTTCATAAACTGTGTAGCACACACATGTGTCTGGGGAGACTTCAACTGGTTCATGCCACTGCTTGATTAAATGGGAAATGGCAGGTCATCACCAAGTTATTAGTCCTCAAGTGAAGGTCTGTACTCAGCCCAGTGTGGGAGCGACAGGTGACAGTGTACCTTGGCCTGAGGAACGTGGTCGCTAATGAGGACAGATTCAGATAACTTGAGCTTAACATTGGTGACCTTCACCCAGTAACAAGTGTGAAACAGTCAGAGGAGCTTGGACCGTCTGCACAACAGATGCACTAATCCCACAGGTGATGCAGACAAACATACATTTCTAACTTGTCAGTTTATGTCACTTCGCCTAGCAAATAATGCAGACCTTCTTGAAAATGACCATACATGACATAAATTCCACAATTTGGACTCTGCTAATTTGGTCCTTATAGCAAACTGGACAATGCTCTGTCCTTCACCCACATGAAGGATTTGATTTGAGTATTAAAGAAAGTCGGGCTTTGGGGTGTTATCTGGGAGAAGGTGACTTTTTGAGAGAATCTGGTTGTGGCCTTAGCAATGGTGCATTGAAAGTAAGCTCTGCTGGTTGAGATTCAAGAAAGGGAAAATGCCAGGTGGACCAAGAATGTGGCCAGAAGCTCTTATGCTCAAGGCAGAGAGAGAGATGGTCTACATACACATGGCATAAATGCTGACATATGGCACAAAGGCTGATATAAGGGAATAAAATACCTATTCCACATTTCTGTGTTGATTCACTATTTTCAGAACATATATTGTCATGTGTTGCATTTCCTTTTCGAGTTAGCAGGAGACCGAATACACTGCAATTTGTGTGTTTTCTACAGGGTGCTTTAGATGACGTCTCATTCGAGAAGAACCCATCTGGACATCTCTTGCAAACTGTGTCGCGCTCCGGGGTTCCTACAGAAAATACAAAGCAATTTAGTACCTTCTTCTAATACTTTCCCAGCATACCCTCTTACCATGGTTTCAGAGACTTTTCACTTGGTTTTTACTGCTACTATTATGTTGCATGAAGCTTGAGGCATTTTCAATTTTCACTTCATTAGACAGAGAGAACAAGCATCCACCCTTGGGCAGATCCCTCACTTGTAAAACAAATACAAGTTAGTTTTGTGTTACCTACACAGCACTCATGGAGAGAAAGGAGGGACAGGTGGGAAGGGAGGCCTTGCTGTCAGTAACACTCTTCACACAGTTATTCCTGGAAAATCGTCAAGGTAACTGCAGTGTGTCTGCTATAATATCAACCTTAGAAATTGGTACCCATTGAATGCCGCATCATTAAATTCCAATCAGTTCCTGCTGAAGTTCTTTCTTTCCAGAATCCTAATTGTGAAGCAACTCATAAGTATGCTAACCTTGAGAAGTAAAAATTTACAACATTATAATAAACTTTTGAAGGTGGCAATAAAGTTGGCCGCTGACTCAAAAGCGGAAGCCTGCAGTTAAGCTACACAGTAAACGGAAGATGATATATCGTTAGCTTAAACTATTTAAAGCGCAGTCGTTACAACTTCAGGAAGGGTGACTGCAAGGGCATTGTATTTCATGGCAAAAAGAGATTTGATCAATTTGGAGAGATCATCGGCAAAAAAATTGGAATGAGTCAACAACTAAAGATGCTATTAAAAATGAGTATCTTCAAACACTTGCTCTTATGCACGGATAGATCATACGTTATGGTGTAGCTGAATATGAAAATATCTCCATCTAGTGTAAGCTAGCTGAACAAATTTAGACCTTACATTCAAATGCAGATTTTACAGGCCAATTCTGGCTTATGCAAGATAACAAATACAAAAGAGACAAATGAAAGTACAGAAAGTTATTAAACTTCATTTATTAAAAATCTCAACCTCCTACTTCATTGTATCTTTTACCAAAAAAAAAAAAAGAGTAAGATGGATTGGTTCTGGCTTTATCTCCTGTCTCTTTCCTTTCTAAAGGGATGGAGTGATTCACTGCCCTGTAAAAATGACAAAGAGCTGGCAGAAAAAAGAAGGGATGGGAGCACCATAGGCTGGAACCTCCACATATTAAATGTTATTTCAAGCAATGCAATGACATTATCTTCGGAACCACCTGACAAAGCAAAGAGGAATTTTTGTTGTTTGTTTTTAAACTTTCTTACTATTCCCAGCTCCTTAACGTGCTGCAGCTCCATGCCAAATTCTACACTATCATAAGCAGGGGTATTTGGGCAGGGAAGCCGTGGCATTTGTTCATCGTTCATTTACTGGGCATAAGTGACTTGGACATGTGGACCTGCATCCTCTCTTGCCCAGTGCTATGAGTCCTACCCAAGGAAGACCTTGCCATTCTTCAGGTACATATTTGCAGCTTGGGTCTCCTCACACATCTCACAAGAAGAATAGCCTAGCTGGCAAAATGTGAACTACCACAGTGGTGGAGGAATGTGGTTTTAGAGCTTAGAAGTCACCATACTGGCCATAAGTAATTTCATAGGAATCACAGAGCTAACTCGTAGAGAGTGAAGAAAATAAAATATGGAGAGGAGACCATCTGACTTCAAAACAAGAAGAAAAAATGGTTATTAAATACTTTTTAGGATAGGCCTACATGGCCCTTCCTTCTCTTTGGCCTGGAAACCTCTTATTTTCTGAGAGGAACCAGCGTGTGGGCTTTTAGAGAGGGAAAGGTAAACACATCCCACTGTGGTGCCACAGAATAAAATGTGTGTCTTTGCCTTAAGTCTCCTGGCTGCCTGCTTGCTTCTTTCCGCAAACAGATGCTCATACTTGCTTGAGAAAGAATCTTGTTCTTTCCATTATTTTTCAAAATTTTCTAGTTTCCAGGCTGCATAGTCCACGTTTACTTTTTCTACTTATACAACTTGCTGAACAGCAGTGAACAGATTTGTTTGTGTTGGATGGGATTTCTCCTCCTACAACGTAATTTAGCTTTTGAGCCCCAAAGTGTCATTCAGTGAAAAGTAGGAAATGCTGCCCAATCCCTCTCTCCAGACCTCTTGCTGGGAGGCATATTAAGGGACTCACAGTTTGCATTTTCAATTATTCATTTTATAAAATTCACCACTTAGGAAACTGAACAGATTTCAATTTTTGACATGTTTCCTTTGTGTGCCTTTAGAACTGAAGTATGTGCCATCTAATAATTTAGACTTGGTATATCACAACTTTTGAAAGTTAAAGTAGTTACAAATAATGAGCATCGGTGGGCCTGTAGTTTTAAAACAGGGGGAGTTTGACTAGTCAGAGGACACTTGACCATGTCTTGAGACATTTTTAGCTGTCACACATTGGAAGGGCTGCTGTTGATATCTAGCAGCCAGAGCCTAGAGATGCTGCTGAAACTCTACAATGCATAGGACAGTTGCCCACAAAGAAATTATCCAGCTCAAAATGTCAGTGGTGCTGAAACTGAGGAACACAGATGCATACTGAATCATCAGAATCTCTACTTATTATCACTTCCTCCAGTCAAGTAAGTGAATAATCTTAATTTTCCCAAGGTATGAGGAGTTATAGGCTACACTGACACTTTGTGAATATGCTAGAAACAAAACAAAACAAAACTGTAATCTTTTAAACTGCAGCTTTAAAAGATTTGGTGCACAGGCCCTAAACCATGCTGTTTGACATGCAGGATGAGGGAGTACTTTCTTTGTAGACAAGTGCTCACTCTTGGCCTGACAATCTGCTTTGTCTACGATAAAGAGGAAACTCACCAAGGAGCCCCACTCTGTATCATCCTCCAGGCTTGACTCCCAGGCTCAAGGAGAACTAGCTGTGCTTTTAATCATGAAATGCGTTCCCCCTGCCATTCTCATTTTTTCATAATTAATTATAGCTGCTCTGTGTTTGCACTCCAGAGCCTCATTAATACCAGCATAATTGCTCTCTTGCTATCTGAGCATTTCTGATGTTCACCAGAAGCACTGCTTGTCTGACTGTCCATACTATGGTAAGACATGGAGGTGGACATGGTGGTGGACATCAACTCAGTCATGTGCCTGAGAGTGATCCCAAACACAGCAATCCATCATGCATTCAGAGCCATTCACTGCATTCGGGACTTGTCAGGAAACTGCCCTGTGGCGGCAAAGTGTCCTCTGGGACGTGGTCCCTTGGGAACAAGTCAGGCACACAGGCCCACCCAGCAAGTACCATCACCTTGCAGGGTGCCACCCTGCAGTGCCACTGGTACAATGGTACCACCTCCTCCCTGGCCACGCTCTCCTGTCAGTGTGGCCTCGGGAACACCCACCAGCCTGTGCCACTCCAAAGCCTGGGGGGCAGCTGCGATGCTTCAGGCAAAACTCCAGCTCCAGGTAGCGGCCCTCCGCACACTCGCACACGCGGTCGTGTGTGCGGTTGCACTCCTGCCTGATGCGCTGCAGTTCTTTGCACACAGGCCTGCAGTACAGACACTCGTCGCTGGTGTGCCAGCTGTCCGTGTAGTGGTGGTCGGGGCACGGGGCGCACACTGTCTTCCTTTTTGCCGTACAGTGCTGCTGGAGGAAGGTGCCGGGAGGACACTTGTCACACAGCAGCTGGCGAGAGGACTCCAGGTCGTAGTGGAGGTACTTTGGGGGTAGAACCTCCTGGGCAGTCCACTTAATGGCTATGTCCAGGAACTAGAGGGGAAAGAAAGGAACACAGCAGCTTCTTAGATGAAAATAGGGCTGGACTTGTATGCAAAGGCATCCCTCTACTGAGAGCCCTTGACTTCCTCAAGCCTAATGCCTGTCCTGCCGAGACATACCACAGAGTAAGCTCAGAAGCTGTCATTTTGCCTTTGGCACTCAGTCTCAAAGACCAAGGGTGTAGCCAGCAGCCAGCACATAAAGGAAATCCAGGCTAGGGACAACACATAGAAAGCTCACTGGAATAGAGTCACAGCACCTAGAGAACTGCTGGACAGTCACAGCCCGAAAGACACTTGTCTTCTGGGTTCCAGGATACCCTCTAGGACATCACCTGAACTCCATGTTAAACAAACATGGACTCCTGAGAGTCACACCCATAAGTAATCTTATTCCACTGCTATGGGATTGGACCTTAAGGATTCTTATTCCACTGCTGTGGGGCAGTGCTCCCGGTGAGTGGGGTGCACAAGAAATAATCTGGGTTTCATTTGTGCATTAGAAGAACAGTTATTGAGCTTTGTTGTGTGTCAGGCTCTGTTCTGGGAACTCGAGATGCAGCCCTGAGTGAAACACGCTAGAAGCCCGCCCCGCCTAGAGTTTACAATCCAACTGGAGGAGTCAGAAAATAAATATATTATGAACAAATTATATGTTAGAGGATACATATTGTAAGAACAAAGCAGGTAAAGCAGACTGGAAACATGGAGAGGGAGTGGGCGATGACTATTTCTGAATGAGGTGGTCATGGCAGCCGTAATTGGGACAGGGTCAGATCTGTTTTTCATTATTCATTCTAGGGCATAATGATGCCAAGTAAAGCGTGATGTGTGAAGGTGCATGATCACAACTACAGTCATTCTTACCATTCTTTCATTCATTCATTCATGCCACAGATACATTTTGAATGCCTACTCAGTGTCAAGCCCCAGGGATGTGCTGGTGAGTGGCACGTGGCCTCCCCATAAGTTTGTCGCCCCCTGAGAAGAGTCCTAGAGTTTTAAGGTTGACATTTTCTCCAAAGATCAAATATATGGGCAGTTTTGATGCTCACAGGTAAATGACATCCAAAAATCCTAATTAATTTAAGTAAATGGAGCAAGTGGCCAAGTCTCTTCAAGTTAATTGGGGTGATCTTCAGGGGGCAAGCAGGGTTTCAGAAGTCTCCACACACCACAGTAGGGAGGGGGTCCATGCTGCAGAATGAGGTTCTATGGGCAAGGGTGTGTGTGGAAGGATAGCTTCAACTGGGTATTCTATCTTGGACTATAGGCCCCGAAAGGGATTCCAGGGAGCATTGCAGTAGTTCTTCACACTAATTACAGGAATTGCACACTTGGAGGGATCAGTGTTACTTGTGTGTAGGGGGTGGTTTGTTTGTTTATTTTTGACTATTTTCAGGCTTTGGGGAGGTGGTAAACCAAACACAATAATTTTTTCCAAACTCTCTTCTTTGCAGAATTCAGGAAATCTACAGAAACCCCCTGACCTGAGGAAAGCATGCCAAGATAAGGAAATAGCACACTCCTTTGAAAGATAAAGAACAGGCTTTTTAAAAAGCACTTGAGTATTTTCCCTGAAGTAACACCATCACTTCTTACAGGACCGTGGCAAATGTCTAGGTTGATTAGACCTAACGTGAGTTGCTAAACCAGAAGAGAAGAACAAATCATCTCACCCAGAGTCACAGACCTCTTGACAGAGACAATTTGCAAAGAGAGACAGCATGATTTTGTAAGAAACTCCCAACCAACAATACATAGAATTCAGGCAAAATCAGAGTTGCGTTGGGGGCCTATCTGGGACACACTCTTGACCAAAGGGTTTCTGAGGAACACATGCTCTTGAACTTCCCTGGGGCTCAGATGGAGTGGGACAACATGATGTGATGAAATGCACCAGGAGTGAGTGGAAGTTCTGGTTTGCTCTGAATCTTTCAGAAATTGATGGAATCTGGGTACAACGTGCACAGGTGGGGGTGGTGGGTACACTTGAAGCCCAGACTTCTTTGCCACTGTACAATGCAAAGACCATTTATACTCCCTAAAGCTGTTTAAATAATGAAAAACATATTTTTGTTAAAGAAATAGAATCTATTTCTTCATTCAACACACATTTATTGAGCATCTACTAGTACCAGGCAGTTTGAAGAGCCTTACCATGTGGTAGGGAATAGAACAGAGGAAGTCATAGTTTAGTGAGGATGAGAACGACAGGAAGTATCAGAAGCAGTTACAGCAAATAACCACAGACAATGGCTGATGCAATGAAGAGAAACAATGGGAAAAAAGACTGTTGCTAGCTGGCCACTTGAATGTAGAGTCTTGGAGGACTCGCGGGGTAAGTTGGGCTCAAATATTTCTAGAATTCTCAGTGTTAGCAAGTGAGGTTTCCTGATTCAACTTGCTAAGACACTGGGAAGCATTAAGAAAGACTGTTTTATTTCACTGTTCACATTCAGTTTCCAGGAAAGTCAATTCTGAGGGTCCTGTTTGCCTTCAAGAAACCTAACTGGAAGACCACAGGCCTCCTGTATCTTGAGCACCCTGCAAAGTGAACCGCATCCCGGAGAGGAGGGGTCCTGGAAGTTCCTTCTAGAGCTTCCTGTCATTCCTGCATGTCCATGGGCTCAGGTGTGCCCGCTGGACCTTACTATCCCTTACAAAAGCAGCACGGACCCAGACATTAAGCTCACCAGAGGGTGTCCTGCTGCTTCCCAGAAGGAGCCAGATAAACACAGATGCGACCAAAGATGCTGATGCCATGTATATGTCTGTAGGTAACTGAACATGATATCATTGAAAACCAGGCTTTGGAAATCTGTTCTCATTTCTTATAGATGCAGAGAAGTTGGGGTGAAAAGAATCCACAGAGAAAAACCATAAATCAGGCCGGCCTAAGGATGGCAGGCATATGAGTGGAGGACATTTCTCTAAGGCCACCACGTGGAATGACCCTACACATTTGTAAACATAGGAAAGCCTCGAGGAACACTCAACTTGTTTTCAACAAGTTCAATTGGGTCTCTATGTTTTATTTGAGAATTTTCCACTTTGGTAAAAAGACAGACTTTGTGTGGCCAAAATTGAATGTTTAGGTCTCAATCTCTGGTTAGCCCTAGTTCCCACACAGAATTTCTGGAATTGGTTACTGGGCAGAGGATGGGCAAGATTAATCAAGCTCTTCACCCCAGACCTTTCTCTCACTTTCGCCTGTATTTCCTGGAAAAGCAATAAAAAAGATGCCATAGGATGGATCATTTTAACACTGGCTATATAGCTCCTTGACCACCTGATGATATTTAAACCCTAATAAGAGTTTGAACACACATTTTTGTGTAAAATGTAGGCCACAAGTAACTGCTGATGAACATCTGTGAAAGCCAGGACCCACGGACAGACCTGGGAGCATCTGCAAAAGCACGGCATGCTTTCCACAGGATAAGCCCCTCTCTTCTCTGTGTTTTATACTTGACTTTTACAAAATAATTACATGGATTTTTTTCTGCATTTTTTTTTGTCATCCTCCTCCCATTCCCTGTCTATCCAACCTTTGGTATAGACCATTTGTGCATGGAAGGAATCTGAGAGTTCTACCAAATGCTTCCTACCAGGCTGGGGTTTCTTTCTGATAACCCCATGACTTTTCTCTTGAAAAGATACTTCAATAGTTAAGATTGCATATCAGATAGCTTTGTCACTCTCCTAGCTTTTTTGTTTTTGTAGAGACGTGGTCTCACTATATTGCCTAGACTGGCCTTGAACTCCTGTCCTCAAGTGATCCTCTCCCTTTGGCCTCCCAAAGTGCAGGGATTACAGGCTTGAGGCCACAGCGCTTAGCCTAGACTTCCATTTTTATGTTGGTCAGAGTTAAATAATTTTCTATTTCAAGCCTTTCATCTGTCCTCACCTGTGAAATGCTAGCAGATTTTGGGAGTGGGTGAAAATGGTGGATGAATTGAATTAGTTGTTTCCTAGTGCCTTTTCTACTCTACCATTGTACCATTCTGTGATTTGACAGATTTATTTGCCAATGAACTTGGAAACAAATGTCTTGCTACATCTCCTTCATATTTTTTTTTTGTGAAACTCCTCTTTACAGAACTGTCTTGATCAGTCTCTGCTTCTCAGAGTTTGGCCACGCCTTCCTTCCCCCTGTGAAGCCACTGGATGCCCAGCCTGTGTCTTTTATCCAGCAAGGGAACCCATGTCTCATCCCACCAGAGAAGCTGGATGCTTGACAGAGTCAGCTGCATGTTTGCAGCCAGGTGCTGAGTCTGTTTCTGCCAGTTGTACTTATAACTATTATCAGACAATTCAAGTAGATAATAAGTAAGGCAACAAACATGAGATGACTTGATAAAAATGAAACCCTTCCAAACAAACAACAAACAACAGAATAATCTACCACAGAACTTAGAGCAGGTAAGACAAGTGTTAAGAGAGAGAGAGAGAGAGAGAGAGAGAGAGAGAGAGAGAGAGAGAGAGAGAGGAAAACATCTAGAAGGTTTATGTAATCAATTTGTTTCATAAATATCTTTAAGTTCAAAAACTGAGTGTGAGGATGTTACTTATGGATGGGGGCTTTGAAAGGAGGTGGTGTGCGGCTCTGGTTAACAAGCACAGATTCCAAGAAGGACTTGCTCGTGTCTCAAAAGACAGATGAGTAAATGTTTACTTCAGTGTTTTAAGCTAAGATAAAATATTTAAGATGAATGTGTAAAACTGTCATTATTAAATGCTCTGATTTTGTAAGTAAGCATCCAACTCTTGGTTCCAAATTTCTGGCGAGACTCCCCCATGCTTTAGAAAGTAGGGTGGTAATGGTGTGTGCAGACAGAGAAAAAGAGGACAATAAGAGGGAATTCTGTTCTGTCTATTCCATTCTAACACACAGGCATTAAAATCTGCTCAGTGTCAGGCAGTGGACTAACAAATGTGGTATATAATATTTTGATTTGTACCTGCTTTAGAATGTTTAACCATTATTAT